ACAAAAAAAAAAAAAGAAAATCCTAGTGAATGGAAGAGTAGTACTATAAGGTTATATGTCAGATAACTTCATGTAGACAATTTTATGTGTGGCTGACTGGCTGATTCTTAAAGTGTCTGTGTGTGAGAGTATAATGAAAACAATAAAATATATACAGGGGACTTGAAGTTTATAGTATACTTTAGGTAACTTCTCTGACTCCTAATACTTTTCATTTATTATGAAAGAAATCTATAGAATAAAAATACGTCATTTATTTTTCCTCCTCTTATTCTTACAGCCAGAAGATCCCTGCTTTGCATCTCAAAATCGTGTGTACAATGACATTGGAAAGGAAATGCTCTTACACGCTTTTGAGGGATACAATGTCTGTATTTTTGCTTATGGGCAGACTGGTGCTGGGAAATCTTACACAATGATGGGTAAACAAGAAGAAAGCCAGGCTGGCATCATTCCACAGGTAAAAAGTGAACAGAAACACCTCTTTGCATCATTTCTTTGTTGTTGTTGGTTGTGGGGCTTGAACTCAGGGCCTGAGAGCTGTCTCAGCTCTTTCTCTCAAGGCTAGTGTTCTACCACTTTGAGACACAATGCCACTTCCAGTTTTCTAGTGGTTAAAGGAAATAAGAGTCTTATGGATTTTCCTGCCCTGGCTGACTTTGAACCGTGATCCTCAGATCTCACCCTCCTGAGTAGCTAGGATTACAGGTGTGAGTCACAAACACCCAGTCCATCATTTCTTTTAGTCTCAAATTGCTCTAGCAAGTTTGTTTATTTATGCCAGTCCTAGGGCTTGAACTCAGGACCTGGGTGCTCTCCCTGAACTTTTTGCTCAAGGCTAGCACTCTACTGTTTGAGGCAGCTCCACTTTGGCTTTTGGTTAGTTAATTGGATATAAACGTTTCATGGACTTTCCTGTCTAGGATGACTTTGAACCATGAGTATCAGATCTCAGCCTCCTGAATAGCTAGGATTATAGATGTGAGCCAGTGGTGCCGGTAAGGATGTTCTTGTGTCTTTACTTTTCCTACTATGTAGTGCAGGGAATGAACCCCACAGCCTTACTCCATCAATGAGCTACATCCTCAGCCCAAAGTAATTATTTACGGATTCTAAGTTATACTAAATAATCATATTTGATTTATGCTGTTTCCATGCGTAGCTTCCCCTTTCTTTCAACTTTATTATTGGAAAACAACAACAACTTTATTATTGGAGTTGTTTTTTTTTTTGGGGGGGGGTCTGGTCACGGGGCCTGAACTCTGGGCCTGGGCGCTGTCCCTCAGCTCTTCAGCTCGAGGCTAGCGCTCTACCACTTGAGCCACAGCACCACTTCCGGCTTTTTTCTTTTTGCTTATGTGGTGCTGAGGAATTGAACCCAG